AGCATTGTCCTTAATTCTTAACAAAATTTCATTTTTTCTCTCTTCTTGAAATGTAGGTAAAGAAATATTTACATGGGTTAAAAATAATTTCCAATAGAGATTATTCTAAAATACTTTCAGAGGGAAAAAAAAGACCTGTCAATTCCTAATGGCTGCACTGTAAATATTACTTAAATTTATTTCCTAAGGGGATAATTTATTAAGAATCACAGAAAACATCAATACTCATAAAACGATCATTACTGATTTGCTCACTTGAAATAGTATGACTTCAACAGATCTCAGTTATGAAATGCAACTTGAAACTAATAATATATGTGCATATTTGAAAGAAACTCATAATCTCCTTTTCTGAAAGCTGAATAAAGGCTTGAATTCATTGCCCACTTGCTTAAGAAATTATCATCTTTCATTCTTGCTAAAATATCATTTGCAATTTCAAATTTAAAAAAATCAAACTATGAAATATACTAATTAAAATGGGTTCATTCTAATTGAGCTTACATGTCATTTATCTTGCAGTAAAAAGAAACTACTTAAACTTTTAATTAAATAAGCACACAATTTAATTTACCCTCTTGCATATGCATATTCTCAGCTACCCTGCTCTTCAGTTCTATGCCAGCACGCCCCCCCCAATCCATACTAGAAAACAAACAAACCAAAAAACAAACAAATAAAAAAACCACTATACTTAAAACATTTGCAGAAAGCGCATGTTAGTTACGAAGTTATAGTCAACCCACTACTAGAAAATTGCCCATTAGTACAATCTGTAAAAGACTACATATTTAATTACTGTTAATGACCTCCAGCAAGCATAAAGAATAGTTTGAAATATATGTTAGTCAAGCAGGCTGAGAAAACAGACACAAAACCCGACACTAGTTTTAAATTTGCAGAATCAGAATTAGCCTCATGACTTCACAATTATTTGGCCAAGATTATTTTTAAGGACTGGTATGATTTATGTCTTTATTTCTCTTCTTATTGCTAATTCAAACTGTTGGCTTCCCACTTGACCGTCACCAGTATTAGTAGCAAAATGTTTTATTATTCCATGCGAAATACATCTTTATAGGTTGTCAATTTTTCCTTTATTCCCATTAAGAACTAAATCAACATTAATAAAACAGTGAGAATTCTAGGGTAAAGTGAAACTTGGAAGAGGATTTCAATAATTCCAATAGTTATTCATTGTGCTTCTCTCTATAATAGATAAGTAATACTCCATATTCCACTTCAAAAATACTTATGTTTCTTATCATTGTTATTCTGGGTCACATATGTAATTCTTTAAGTTTGTATGACATCTACAAGGAAAGGTTGATATTCTGCCCAATAGAAGCTTTGTAGCAGTAAGATGGACAACAAAGAATTCGTTTCCAAGAAAAGTTGGCTTGATTTCAGGGACTTTATATCCTTTTCCACACCAGGCTTTAGGATTTACAGTAGGCAAATCAATCTTTTTCATCCCTTAATTTAAACAATGCTAACTGCATTTGTAACTACAGCTCTTTAATATTATTAGACAGAATTACTAGAATCTGTACAATTAACTTTAAAACTCTGAACTCTCAGTATAGAAAATTCATTAAAATAAAGTAAGCTTGTTTAAATTTTCAAAGAAATTCACTATTTTAAAGTGTGACAAGAAGCTAATTTAGGACCCAAAAAGGTAGGAAGGCCGCTTGTCACAAAGTTATTGTTTTATCATTTGATATATTTTACAAACTATTTCACATAATGGAAAAAGAGAAAGGATATTTATTCTTATGACTACTTGCAACTCTCCATTTTTCAACTCCCCATTCTGACCTTTTTGTACTATCATTTGCCTTTTCTTCAAGTAGGAGGATAATATAAGTGGAAGGCTTTGTAAAGAGCTTTAAAAAAATAACTGCAATATCTAACTAGCTTAAATTAAAATCTAGAGCACCCAAAGGACACAAGGCATGCATTGTGAGGCAAGAGAACACAGACCAGAATGAACAAACACGTGTACAACTATCGGTTTATGACTACTAACTTGCATGAACATATGGTCACCAAAGACTATCTGAAATTCTAGCTGCACCTAAATTCTATTTTCTAATTCATTATTTTAAAAATGTATTTAATTAATTAAAAGTTGAAATCATGGTGCCTTTTTAAACTCTGTTTCATTTAACAGAAATTTCCCTTTGGGGGAAATATTACAAAAGCTTTCTTTTAAAAATGAAAGGCTTTCAAAAATTAAAATTACCAAAACATGGATTTTTTTTTTTTTTAGCTACTACAAAGATAATATACTACTGCGCTAAAAAAAAAAATCAGGTTTTTTATTTAAAGTTCTCACTTTCCTTCATATATGGGCCAGGTTTCATTCTTGAGCCTATTAAACAATACTGAAAAGGGATTTCTGAAACTGGTGATAGAAATTAATTTACAATTTAGGACATATGACATCATTAAACTTAAACATTAATAGCAAAAATTCTAGTATTTATAAAGTAACACTGCAAAATCATTTCAAGATTATATTTTTATTGTGTTGCAAACTGACTTTGAATCATGAAACAACTAAAATTGCAGGTGCTTAAGTGTCACTGTGGGTTGCATGTCTGAAGCATAAGCGGATCTCATCGTTTTCAACCACCCCCTTTCCCCCAGGTATTCCACAAATTAAAGGAGAAAGTTTTAGGACTAGGCCTACAGAGTGTGATCCTAGGTCTCAAAAGTATAACCCACGTTCCTTTTCTACATTTTATAGAATAAAGAGCCTATGTGTTATACCTGTCTACTCACAGAAAAGCAACTGATATTAGAAATAACTCCATTTATTTTTTTCCTGGCAAGCAGCAATTCAAAATATTATTTTAAATCAACTAAAAAAAGGAAAAAAAGAAAAATGAAACAGGAGAAGAAACCAAACTCTTGCCAAGAAATACATAAGAATATCTGTGTTTGAAAAATATTTCTGGGACATTTTTCATTTAGAAAATGGTACGAAAAAGATTTACTGTTTTCAAGTCCTTGAAGCTTAAAATATATTTGATAATCCAAATAGCAGGCCGCAAAGAACAATTTCAGCCAACTGTGGCGCACAATGGCACATTTACAGAATTTTAACTATTTCTTTAATAATTGATGTAGTCATTTTGAATCATTCTGCATAGGATATCAGGTGTGAGCAGATTGCATTAATGCTGCTTAAACATTTCAACTTGTCAGTATGGCCAACTCGATTTCGGAAATATTTGCAGTATTTTCCCATCGAAACAGTAATAAAGGTAAGATAAATATATGCCACTACTTTATAATCACCGAACATTAATGAATATTTTATGTCTTTTTAAATCTCCCTGTTTAATTTAAAAGGGTGAAATTAAGTCTCCTCCCTGCAATATGCCAATTATCTGTAAATCAAACAATAACTTGGCCATTATGCTCCTTTTTGTTAATATAAGAGAAGCTAATTTGAAAACACTGAATGGCATTTTTAGACTATCAGTTTAATAGTCCTTTCTGCCCTCTTGTGGGAGAAAGTTGAAATACATTCAAAGTACAGAAACGAAATGTTTAAAAAAAAAAAAGGTAAAATTTGAGTAATAAAAATTTCAATCTGAGAGAAAAATAAAGCAGTCTATACTTATCGTGCTAGTCTTTAATTTAAAAAATTAATCAACATAATGAAATTTACCTCTTATCTTTTCTTGATTAAATTGGTATTATTTTTAAACAAAACTTCTTCACTTAAGGTAGTAAACATATAATTTAAATTTTACTATCTTGAAGTTCCGAGCCATAATTAAACATTATTTCTTGTGTAAAAACACCAATGATACTTCAAGGAATTAAAAATCTAAACTTAGAGACTACAACACTCATTATGGAAGTTAATAATGAAATGGCAATTATATTTTACTCAAACCTATGATTCAAATTAGAGGCCAAGAAAAAGTAAAGATTTTAGTTACTAGTCAACAAGTTATTCAAGTGATGAAAGAGAGAAAAAAAACTTCAAGCAATGACTTATTTATGCCAAATTCAGAAATTGAAATAAATCGACAAAACATGAAAAAGGGAAATTAATAGTCTAGTCATTACTGAAACAATTCATACACTTCTGAAAAATGATTAGCTGAAAAACAACTTGTTCTTTGAATAGAACATTAGTGATTATTTTAAGCAACGTAGTGCAAAAAAATAATTATGAAATAATCCAAGATTAAGCATGATAAAAACATTCGTAGACAAATGACTGTTGTCTTCGCAACTTACAAGGGGTAATGTGACATAATCATCATTTCAATGTTTCAAAACACAAATCCTGTCACAGCCTTATACATTTCCCCCGCCCCTGGAGATAAATTACTGACTTTTAGGTAGGTGGGGCCATAGGGAAGAAGGTACCTCTTCTCTCTTGGGGGAGGTTCTTTTTTTGAAACAGTGGACGTGGTTGGCCACACTGAAGAAAAAATACTGACACTATAAATAGGCTCTTCTCAGATAGTCTGAGCTATGTGACTGACAGGCTGTTAAAAGCATCTCACAATACTGCCCAAGACTGGAATTAACCTGTTTAAGAAAAAGCCTCCTCAAATTCCTTTTGGAAACAGGCAGGGTGCACGTTATAAATAATATATTTGAGAGCAACCTTTCAAATAAAATATAAGTATGTTTGAAAATGCATGCTGTCAACAATTTCCAAATTAATATTATGAGTAATTACTATAAAACCATGAAATGTATTACATAATAATGAGTATTTTAAAGCAGAGTTTTAAGGTGACTGACTATTTTTAAGAAATATCGAGAGTTCCCATTTACATCTGTCTTTCTAGGTCAAGTCATTTAATATATCTACAGTAATCATGATGCTCCAGTTAATTAAAATTAAGAACCCAATAATGAAACATAAAGAGAGTTTCCAACCAGAACAGATAAGCCCTCTTTAACAGGGTCAACATTAGCTATAATGAGCTACCTTTATTCCTTAGCTGTGAGACATAACTCACCTCTTGAATGGTACTGCTTCCTGAGAAGTTCAGGTTGTACTCCCGCTGGACTTCTCGGTGGGTGATGATCAGCATGAAGTTTTGATTTAATGACTCCTGCAGGGCACTGAAAGGGTTGAAAGAAAAACAAGGAACTCTGAGATGAACAAGTTCTAGCTTGCTTTACAGTTAGCTGCAAAAACCCCAGGAGTACCATAACTTCCACACAGGCATGTCCGGGCCCAATGTTATCATCTTTTCAGCTCCTAAAGGCAAAAGAACATGCCGAGAACAACCAAGGGGAGCTAATCTGTTAACTCCTTCTCTACCAAGGTGTTTTTAAACTTCAATTCTAAATACTCTGCATACACAAAAATTTTCTGCATATATATTTCCTCTAGGAGAACCAAATTTGTCATTATTTCAAATGCCAAACATGTCACAAAAATGTATACTCAAAGGCGCTGATTCAATTTCAAGTGAAATAGCTGTTCTAGAAGAAGAAAAATATGAAACTATTGTTTATATTCATGAATGCTGTATAAGAATAGAAATACGGTTTAAGTCAAAATTCAGAAGATATTGAAATCTATAGAATTCCTTCCAAATAACTGTGCTTTCACTTAGGACTAAGAAAATACATAGAATTTGAAAATTAGAGAATTCAGAGCAACATTACATTCTATGCCAAAGTTCCAAAATACTAGAAATGTGTCAGAACCATGAAGAGTAAATGAAATTAGTGACATGTAGCAAGAAGCGTTAAGTCATAGTTTTATCTGTTTATGATAATACTAAGAATGTTTATGACAATACTAAGAAGCACTATCAGCATTAAAAATAAAAATCTATTGTCGTTATTGATGAATAATCTGTACTGTCAGCCTCAAGTATAATTATGCCATGCTTATGCAATCAGGAAAATATTTTGGGTGTGCTATATGGTTCTGGCTTCCTTTGCCAATCTATAACTATGTGATAAATATACATGCAATGTAAGATTAAAATTAGGCAGTTAATCTGTTTGTTGTATTGTCTCCTATAGAGTTTACAGGTTAATTACAGACTAAAATTACCTAGGAAATACCAATATATAGCACGAAATATTAGTGATCAAAATAAAAGGAAATGATACCCCACTAAAATAGTTCCTTTGTTCTTGTCTCCTTAGCATTTACGCATAATGCCCAGCACACTGCAGATAAATATTGATTGAATAATGAATAAATTGTGAATTTTCAGAAGGCAAGAGTTTTATTTATTTTTGTATCTCACACAGCACTGTTGTTGCCTTCTGGAAAACTACCATGGGAATTAAAAGTTTGATTTTGATTCATTTATTTATCAATATTAAATCAATGCTTTGTATTATTCTAAGTGCTAAGAAAACCAATCCAAATAATACATAGTTCCTGTTCATGAAAAGGTTCACAATCTAATAAAGGTAGACAGATACATAAACAGCCATAGTATAACAGGTACAATTGAGAAATTGAAAAAAAAAAAAAAGTACAATGAAAACTGAAAAGGAAGTGCTTAACTCTGTCCCAGCGAGAGGAGAAAGGGTCTAGGGGAAAGCTTCAGAGGAGAAGAAAGATATGTGAGGATAAGTAGGCCCTTAGAGTTTATCGCTTGGAAGAAATGAAATTTCTGTTTGGTTTGGGGAAAAGAGAAGGGTGGCACTTTTTAGACAAAGAAATAATAAATGGAAGAACACAGCATATTCATTCATTCTAGTAACATTTTTATTGAGCAGTACCACTGTTTATGACGCTGCTCTGGTTGCTAGGGATACTGTGGTGGACAAGAAAAACATGGTCCCTGCTTTCATGAAACTTACACTCTAGTAAAGGACACAAATAATAATCAAGTAAATGAATAAGCGATTTTAGAGAAGGCTGGTGCTGTGAAAGAAATAAACTGGGGTTACAATATAATAGGTAACAGAGGAGCAGGGTAAGGGGAATTATTTTCAACGGAATAGTTGAAATCATCTCTGAGGCAGTGACATTTAAATTGAGGCTGGTATGATAAGAAAGAGATAGCAAGAGTCTGATCATGTAGGTCCTTGTAGACCATAGAAAATAACTTGGTATTTAGAGTAATTGCAAAGGAAAGCCATTGGAGGGTTTTACACAGGAAATGGTCAAGATCTGACTTATATTTACATTTATGCAGTAGTATTCTGGCTGCTCTGGCTACAGTGAGGAAAGAGTGAAGGCATGAAGAACAGATAGGGGGCTAGCCCCGGCCGGAAGTGATAGTGGGATTGGACTAGGGTGGAAGAGGCAGAGATGGTGACAAGTTGTCAGGTTCAGATGTATTTCAGAGGTAGAAGCCAGACAACTTCTTGATGGAGTGTGCGAGAAAAACATAGCCCCAACATTTCTGGCCTGAGTAAATGAAAGGATGGAATTGAATTTAACAAAGAAAACCGGAGTAGGAACAGGCTGGCTAGGGAAGTTGAAAGTGAAAGATTTGGATATACTAAATTTTAAGATGCTAATAGACATCAAAAAAGAGATATCATGCACAGTTATATGTAAGAGTTAAAGGTCAAGTAAGAGAGCTCGGAACAGGAGAGTCGACAGTGTATACGTGTATGTAGATTCTGTGACAAAAGAAATCACCTAGGAATACAGGTTACTTAGAGAAAACGAGAGAGGCCAAGATGGAGCCCTGGGGCATTCCAATAATTTGAAATCAAGCAGAGGAAGAGGAGTCAGTGTAAAAAAGATCTTAAATGGTTAATGAAATAAGAGAAAAACCAAGAAAGTCTAGCAAAAAGAACCCAAAAGAAATAACTGTTTAAATTAGGAGGGTAGGAGCAATTATGCCAAATGATGCTGAGACAGCAAGTCAGAAAAATCACCATATTCGAGAAATTGTGAAAAGCTCAGTGTGACCACAATGATGGGTGTGTGAGAGTGGTGTAGTGAGGCTAAAACAGTGGGCTGAGTCAATGTTCAATATATATGTCTGCTAAATGAGTTTGGTAGATCTATTTCACAACTATTTTCCAAAATTTGGCTTTTGTTCTAGAGCTTGGCTAACTTTCTCTCATGTCCAAAACATCACACCATACTTGCTTCAATCTCTGTTCATGTTGTTCTCATCCTCTTTCCTGTCCCCCCCCGTCCAAAATGCTGCACAGCTTTCACGCCACCTCATGGCCTACCATTTGTATTTATTATAAACCTCCTCTTCTCTGAATTCCTATAGCATACGTGTATACTTTATGTAATACTTAATTATATCGTGTTTTGTACAGTCTGTTTTGTTTCATGTGTGGAAGTCCTGAATTCAAGACTTTAAGCCTTTTGAGGGTGAATTTCTTATTCATCAGTATTTCCCTTGGCAACTCTTATACTAAAATGGTGATTCAATTCAACCTATAAACATTTAAGGAATAGCTCTGCATATTCTGAACTACATATAAAGAACTACTAAGTCTAATTTTTTGAGTCTATCTATGAAGTGCCATTTTATTTACAAAACTGTGGTTCACAAAGGTTAAGGAACTGCCCAAGGTTATGCAGCCATAAAAAGATAAAACCCAGGGCCGGCCGAGTGGCGCGATGGTTAAGAACTGGCTTGGGACACCAGAGGGCCCTGGTTCGGATCCCACATGTGAGGGCCAGTGACACTGCCCTCTACAGCTAAGATGCTGAAGAATAGCTCAACCTGGAGCTGGGCTGCTGGGAGTTGCCGGCGATGGCGTAGGCTGCAGCCCCTGTGGCAGTGGGTTGCCATGGGCTACCGTGTGTAGCCAGCAGCCAGCGTGAGCAGCCAGCAGCCGCAGTGAGCGGCCTTCCAGAAGCCAGCGACTGATCTGCCTCGCCAAGGAAGAGCGCAATGATGGTGCCAACTTGGGCCAGTGAAGCAACGTCCTCTACAACTAGATTGAAGAACAAAAACGACAGCAACTTGTCTGTTCCCCTTCCCCCAATTTCCCAATAAAAAAAAAAAAATCTTAAAAAAAAAAAAGATAAAACCCAGCTTCTAAACTATACTTGATTCTATGTTCTTTCACATCAGCATCCTATCTCCCAAATGGCTACGCTGCTTTAGGGATAAAAAGATTAGTAAGACTCTTGCCTGCTAAAAGTTCACAATTCATTCATTCTTTCTATAATTATTTCATTCCTATTATTTGTAATAATACAGGAATAAAAGACAACCACTGACCTCAAGACAGACTATTCAGAGAGGTTAAAACAGATGTGAGGATTGTTAGAGAGGGGAGAGAGTGCTTTGAAGTACTATGAAGGAGGGATTGTAATTTGACAAGTAGATATGGAGGATGATTTTAGATAAAGACTAGTTTGAGCAGGGATGGGGACTGGAGAATATAGACAAGGGTGTAGAAAGCAACTAGGAAGACGTTTAAGGGGATGTGGAGAAGGGTTTGTGAAAGAGAAAACTTGAAAAACATTAAGGGCCTACATTGTGAGGGCTTCAAATGCCAGGCTAAGGAGTTCAGAATTCCAGAAGTCTTGATTAGTTATATAGATCTTCCTTTATTTTCACGTATGAATCTCCGCATAGGTTTAATACTTGTAGTGCGTGCCTTTATGCAATTCCTTAGATACATTTCTTGATCTTGACTGGCAGACTTGTGCAATTACTTTGCAGAAATGTTTGCCAGGACCAGCACTGACTGCCAAACTACTGTAGAAGAACACCCATTTAAGTCTAGTTCTACAATTCCTCAATAGCCCTAAGGGAGGGTACACTGGCAAGAAAAACTATTTATGGCTTTAAACTGCTCAAGAGTCACAGAGCCAGATTTGAATCCCTGCTCCTCTACTTGCTAGCTGTATGACCTTGAAATGTCAATCACACCTTCTTTCAATGGTCTTTATTGAGTGTCTACCACATATACGGCCCTATTTTAGGCAGTCACTCTGTAAATTCTTAATTTCCTTTTCAGGAAAAGGATAACACTCCTTATTTCACTGAATTATGAATATTAAATTTTAGAAATCCATGTGGGAATTTTTATTGCACTTAAGTGTTAAGGTGACCTGTTATGACTTACTGAAAATAGAACACTTCTGAGGGATATTCATACTTTAAAATCTTACAATGACAGTGAAACATTAACAAAAGGATCTATGATGCTTT